GGTAATTTATACGCGTGCGTTAAATTTGGAAACTCGGCTGTGAAAGAATTGTCTACGTTTACTAAAATATTTAGACTACTAAAATTGCCTCCCATTTATTTTAAAAGAATTTTAAAGGAGGGGCCGTTGGACAGACCAAGTTTTGATAAGCGGGTGGTGATTCTGATAATTTTGAACACCTTAAACATTCTGGTTTCTCTTCATATTTAACCGACTTTGTAAAACTTATTCGTCAAGTTTTTTCATAAGATCTTTTTTTAAAACCGCCGCCCGTTCGTTGGCTAGCGCTTCTGCTCTTTCGTTGACTTGACGTTCAAATTCTTCTTTAGAAGTTTCTTTAGTTTCTTCCAATTTTGTAGACGTACGTGATCTAATCTTTTCTTTCATCTCGTGAAACTTTTTCAGCTCGGATAAAATAAGGACAAATTCTTCCTGGGATATGTCACCGTCTTCAATCGCGTGATATACGTATTCCTCGATGGTGTTTAATTTAGCGTCTGCCAACATTCGAATTTGATCGTGTTTTTTAGTTTTGTGGGTGAGTCTACGAGAGGCGTACTTTAGAATCGCGTAAGCGCCAAACGCACCGATAGCGATTCCTTCCATCACAAGTCCAACGGGCCCGGTGATCACTCCCAAAATGGCGGGAATGCCTACGGCTGCCGATGTGGCGCCCAGTGCTTCTACTCCGTATTCTACGTATCCGAGCGCTGTTAAAAGTCGTTTGATCTTTTTGTAATTACTTTCCCTCGCGTCGCGTTCTCTTTGGATTTGAGATTTAATTTCTTCGATCTTCCTGAGTCTGTAAATGTTGGTTTCACTCGCTCCGCTCGCTTCAGCTGAGTTTAAAGTCAAATCAGGGTAAATTGATCGTTGTTTGTTAGTCGTCATCTTATTACCTTTATAATTATGCGTTTTATATTATATTTAACTCGATAAGTACTCCACTATTTTCGTTTTGTACTAATTCCCCACTTTCCAATTTGATGTAAAAAGTTAACTCGTCTATATTTCTCCGTTGCAATTTCTTGGGTACATTAAAATCGCTACGAAAATATTGATAGGTTGAAATAACTTGTAACAAATCAAACGATTTCCCATTGTAAAAATTATAGTCAGCGTCCAATTGAGGGCAATAAATAAACGCGAGTTGATTCGATCCCAGTGTATAGCCACTTTCAAATAAAATGTTTTTTACCAAGATTACCTTATCACCATTTAAATTATCGATAGTGTTTTTCAATTTAAACGTTTGAGGATTTTGGCATAAGTAAAATGTATGTGTCTCCATTTTATTATATACGTTTTATACGTCTTGTTTTGCGAGGTTAAACTTCTTCATAGCGTTTTCCCAGTGCTTATCCGAGACTTGAAAAAGGTCTTTCATTTTAGATTCAGTTTCTCCAGTTGTGTCTTGATAACACACCGCGATTAAAGCCTTCAACGGTTCGCCCCTAGAGATCTTACCGTTTAAAACTTGGTTTAACTTGTATTCTATTTCGCCCGCTTCGCCGTTTTTAAAACAAATGTTATACTTCTGCAACGTTTTTCTCGATTTTGGCGGCTTAGGTTTTTTCCAAACGTGATGATTAAAGTACCGATCTCCCATTTCTGCGGGAGTGTACGCGGAAACCCACCCAAAAATTTGGCCGCAATGTTTACACGCTAATCTTTCGTCCATTTCAACTATTTGGTGGTTACAAGTTGGCCTCGGTTGTACATTTCTCGTTGCCCCAATTATGTGTACTTCCTTTC